TAGAACAGTCTACTTTGCCGTTTTCGAATCAAATCTTCGATACGCCCTTCATTCTGGGGTTCGAACTGTGCGACTCAATTTGAACGTATTTTTAAATTACAAAAAACAGCTATTAGATATTCCCTAAAATTAAAAAATAGAGCCCATTGCCAAGAGTTTTTCAAAAAATATAAAATATTAACACTTCCTTCCCTTTTCATACTAGAATCAGTCTGCCTTATCCGCAAACACCTACCCAGTATTTCAGAAAGGCCATTGCATAACTATCCACTTAGAAACGCGGAGCATGTTCTTTATCTGCCAACTCCATCTTCCGAGTTAATTAAGAGCTCTATTCTATACAACGCAAAAAAAATGCACAATCATTATTGCCAGTAGTCATCAAGTCCATAGCATCTCTTCCTAAATTTCGCATAGCTCTAAAATCCTATTTATCAAAGAGAGCCTTATATAAAGTAAATGACTTTTTTCTGACTTAATTTTGAGCGTTCCACACACTGGATCATAGTTTATAGGTGATTTGTTCATTTTTATATTTGTTCATGTTATATTTGTTTATGTTTATATTATTTTATTTTGACTTTGTATACATGTAGATGTGTATAATAGGTATATATTTTTAGCTTTAAGGCTTTGTCTACAAATTATGCTATAATTTTTTTGACAATAAAGCATTATTGAAAAAAAAAAAAAAAAATTAAAACGAAAATAGTTCAAAAATTTAAATTCATTGGAATTTAATAATTCTGAGGAAATTATCATATAAATGTGTTTTCTCGTAATTTTAATTAGGTGGAGCTCCATAAAAACTTCCAAAGAGAATTTTTATTATTGCTTGATATTAATTTTTTTATAAATATTCATTAGTTTGAGAACGCTTGAAATTTAAATTGCGTATAATACACCAAATATTTTCTATAAAAATTTTCTTTGCAGCCTTAACTCTGCTAAATACCTATGTTGTCTGATTGCTACCGTATTTTATTTAAGTGCTTTAGAATTCAGAATGTTGAAAATCAGAATAAATAATATATATTTTCAGCGGCTTCAGTTTCAAATCGATTGAGAAGTTTCTCGAAAAAATATTCTTGGTAATGGTAACTTGCAAGTATTTTTTCGGGCTCGCGGTCTCAAAAACTGAATGGATAAAGTAGGGATTTTTGTGAAGTGAAAATACTCCGAAAACTTTGTTATATTTGTACTATTCGGTGTAAATGTAGTAAAATTATTCTATTCTTGCCTCAGCTGCGCTTCCTCCAGCAACTCACACGATCAATGAAGAATGTACACAAAATAATGATGTTGAGAATAATAGGGCAAATTTTTCGTAAAAAAATCAGTGCTCTAATTACATAGTTATTCACGAACATTTTCCACTTAACACTCGTTGACAATTGGGTGTTGAAGAGGGTATGTAAATGCAAAGTACTAAATTAAACCTTATGAAAGCCCTAGAAGAGGCGTAAGGATACTGCCTGAAGGAGTAGTTATAATTAATAATGTAATGCCCCAGGCCCGGAGGAACCCTTAAAAAAAACTCGGAGTGTTTGCGTTTGAAAATTAAAATACCTTTCGTCTACGATCTACTTGAATAATACATCACCTCGAGTTCTTCCCCTTTAATTAATATAAGTTTTTTAGGAGAATGGATAAGAGATAAGTTTCGTCGCATTGAACTAATTTGTGCTTACGCATTTACAAAATGCGGAAGGGCAGAACAATGGAATTTTTGCGTTTATTGTTGAATCTTGATTAAAACCGTTAGTATAGAGGCACACAATATTGAAAATGGGATTAATAATTGAAATATTCCAGAATAATTAAAACAAAATAATAATAGAAGGGATATAACGAACGCCCTCTAACTTCGTTAACCTACGGTTGTGTGCGTGGGGATCAGGATTATGTATGCTAGAAGCTTACCTATTTTAAACTTTAAATTGAATCTTGGTGGAGAACGAATAACCAAAGGGTCGTTTTTAGGACCTAATTTATACTTCATCTTCACATAAGCCATTCCAAAGGCAGCAGATACTAGAAGTGCCCTTCAAAAACATCCGATTTTGTCATGCTAGCTCATTGAATAGAGAAGTCAGAGGCTCTAGGAAGAAATGGACCTCATTTTTTAATCATATAGGGCAAGTATTATATATCATGGAGCAACGAAGTAGGATATTCAGTTGGAAAAGTATCTCGCTCACGAATATAGATGGAAGTTAGAGTGATAATTGTGAATAAATTTATTGAATATGCTAGTTAGCATCATCATCTGGCATCTGCCAATTTTCGTTCCATTACTTTATGAGAAAAATAAGATGAAACGTCATAGAAGATGAACATCGTAGGACACATATCGATTAATTCGATTTTGGTACCAGGAATAAAATAAATATATTCCTCGGTAGAGAAAGTCATTATATACCGAGCGCTTTTATAATGCGTAAGGTATATAATGACTTCCTCTACCGAGAGATATATAGAATTTTTTTTACTACTGCTAGTAGAAAATAAAAAATAGGTTTGAAACCTGTGCTCAAATTATTTTCTCTTGTCGGAAGTGCTGCCCTCTATCAACAGCTTACGGTAATTTCCTATAATGTACATACAGGAACCTGCTTTTTTTAAAATTGACAGTTTGACACTGAAATTAAACCAATAGAAACCTGTTACGTTATGACAATATCCTTGCATCATGACGTCATTTTCATTATTGACCTAGGTGTTTTTTCATTATTTTCATTATTAACCTACGGAGAGAAATTCAATTTTTTCCCAGAGAAATTCAAATCAACTTCAAAGCCCATTATGTATAGACCTAGTCGGCGTAAGATGATATTTTCCGAATTTTATAAGATAAATGAAACATTTACATTAATAACAGAAAATTCCAGGGTGCGACTCCAATATAGAATGGATACATCAAAGGAAATCGAATTACAAAATGATAATATTATATTTGGGATACTATAAAGGCATAACCTTATAAAACACAGTTCGTTGGGCATTTTCTACTTCTCCGTTTCTTATTTCAATCTTCTTAAAGTGAATTCTTGAAATGTTTTCCTTGCTTTGGTCGCTATGTTAAATAGGCCCGACAGATTTCAAGACAATAAAAATTGTATTTTGCTGTAGAAATACGCTAATAACTTTACAATGTGATGAGGGACTCGAGTCTTTAGATTCCAACCACACGTTTGTCAACTACCTTATTACATCGTAATTTAGTCTATACTTAAATTATTTGAAACAAGCCCATTGAGTTGTTTTCAAGAATAGATCTTTCGACCTCATTTTTTCATAACTAGATATAAATTAATATTTAAGAAGCTTGAACTGACATATAAGAGAACTAGATTTAAAACCTCTGTAACATGGCAAAGTTGACTAACTATGTCATACTTATTTTCAGTTTTCCATTTAAAATTCTTTTAACTTTGTTCATCTTTTTCCTCTCTAAAATTTCAACAATAATTACAGTAATTGCAGATCCTGTATTTCCTAATCTTCAATATTTAAATTCTATTTTCACTTGTGACGACTAATGATTTTCCTCGATTTTAATCAATATTTTTTCTAGGGTTATGTTTCCCAAATCGTTTTCAAAGTATGTACCGTATGCTATTCGTACTTTCGTACTGTTCGTTTGCTGAACTCAGTACCAATTTAAGTTCTGTTTCCGGTCCCATCATTGGTTCCATAAACCACCGTATTGCCCTCTTTGCTCTCTATTTTATAATGACACTTGACGGCTTTCGATTAGTGAAGTCCGTTTTTTTTTTAAGTTAATTCCCCAAGTCAAAAATTTAGTAACTATGTTGGCAACACAAGCCTTTTCTACATAAAAATTGACAATTTTACATTGTATTGCCAACATAATGTCATTTTGACTTTTATCTTTAAAAAAAAACACACTTTAATATTTTTGGGATCATCGATTCCTAGTAAGCGCTTACGTTTTGCAAACGGATTGCTTACTCAATGTCATATTATTCAAATTATGATTGTTCTATTGAATAATTACTTGTTGTTATTATCATTAGTACGTAAAAATTCTATCGACTAATTTTTGATGTTTGTCGTTATTCTGACCCATCTCTAGACTCTAAATCCTTACCTTTAGGTCAGCTAATTAATTTTATGTGGTCTTTTTTTTTTCACATTTGGTGGTTGGAGAAATAAGGTCTTTCTGAAGAGTACCTAAATTTCGTCTTCGTCTTTGAGGGATTTCGACCTCATATTCTCAATTATTGAATTTATAGTACATTGAGTTGCCTTACGTTTCCGTAAAGTACTATAAAAATCGCCGATTTTTTTCGGATCTTTACAACCATCCATGTGGTAAGTTTTTTTCCCATAGTGGATTCTGACCTTTTCTATTTAATCATTAGTGAAAAGCTGCCCTAAAGAGTCAAGACCATCTCACTCACTCCAGGATTCTAAATCCAGAACTCGATCCAGATTAATCCAGAGTATTTTCGAGGCAAACAAAACCCATTCCAACAATTGACACATAACCTAATAACCTTAAATTTTCTTTGCAAACTCGAGGCACATTTTCTTTACTATTAAAGATTCATCTGATTTTGTCTAATTTGATTAATAATTAACATTAATATTCAATTTTCCTCGAGGGCGAGAAGTTATTTTGTACCTTAAAACCTAAACATTATAAAGATATTTTCAAAAAATCCCAACAAAGTAAAGTTTATATTTACTTAAATTCGAAAACGATTATTGGTGGCAGCAACTATAACAGTATTATGATAAAATCATTTGATTTACTTTCACAACGCGACAATTTAGACGATTGTTCTAACATACATACATACATACATACATACATACATACATACATACATACATACATACATACATACATACATACATACATACATACATACATACATACATACATACATACATACATACATACATACATACATACATACATACATACAATAATATATTCGAATAAATTCCATATTATGAAAATTTCTTACTTGAAATAGTCGACACGTAAATCGGGTAAGGGTGGTGTCATACGAGCTTGACTACCACTGGTCCCTGCTGTATTGGTTCTATATTTGGCTAGGTGTTTCTCGTCATACACAAATTTATCGCTGGCGTGCGATTTCGAATCATTACCAGCCGATGATGGATTTCTTCTGTTTGTCTTTTTGTGCCTAGAACAATAAATATTTTGCTAATATAAATATTGTCAATAGTATTTTGGGATCATGATCTTCATTGGTAACGTTCTTTCTTAGTTTTTGCCGTTAATAAAGTACGTCTCAACAAGAACTTCAACTTTAAATCGCGCGCCATTTCTGTCTGTCGGCCACATTGACATTTACTAAAATGTCGCGTTACACTCTTGAAGAACGTCCCTCAATTGTAAAAATTCATTACAGAAATAGGGAAAACTTTACAGTGACATTGCGCAGATTACGTGCATATTTCGGCGTACAAAATAAGTTTTCACGATTAATAACCGTTACCCAAGAGTGTAATGGGACATTTTGGTAAATGTTAATGTTTTCACCGAACACATGCCCAATATGACCGACTTGATGCATGACAGAGAAAAATGGCGTGGGATTTAAACTTCAAGTTCTCGTTGAGACACCCTTTACATGTTTAATGTGTATTATAAATTTCAACATTGTGTGGGTCTGATGTTGAATAAAACATTATACATGTATAACTTTTCAAATAAGATTTGTTTATGGAACCAAGACAAAATTTGAGCGTGCCCTCGAATCTAAGAGCACTCCCAGAACTTCACCCAGGTGCACTATAACCGATATACACAATGCCCACAAGGATTTCTTAATTGTTATATCTAATTTTCTTAATGATAATTGATTATTTCCAGATTTATTCAGCTCTGTTGGTATTTACAGAATAAAACATTAATTTTGAGATTCCAGTTATCTCAGTTATTCTGGTTGTATACCTACGTGCAACGTCCTAATCTTACGACCGAATCCACCCAAGCGACTGTAAGCTCGGCCACCAATAGTAGATACTCGGAAATCGAGGGAGGTCACTATAAATTCTATGAGGAATTTCTAACTAACAAATGACAAGAATATTTATTAACAAATTTGCGTGCAAACAACCTAAATAATTCAAAGCCTTAGTCACCACAGTTACTAAATCGAGAAAGTTAACGTAGTATCCGAAAAGTTTGAACATTCTTGTTTTATTTATGAGTTGCGTTTAATTTGAAGGGCTTTTCCTCGCATATCCCAAAACTCGCTTGCATTTAGTACACAATTCAAATATGGTGGTATTCGACACAAAAATGCACAGGAAAAAAGTAATAAATTCTATTCTGCGGTTCGACACTACTTTCGTTATGAAGATAAACCGCGCTCCTATTTAGCATAAGCTGACAATATTGGATTTTAGCTGACAGCGAAATGGAATACAGAATGAGATTTTGCGTTGAAACTGTTCAATAATATATGAACTAGGGTTTGTATGACTTTAAATTTTTATGAAGTTTGGAGTAGTAGCGAAGAAACGAACATTTGGTAATTTTTAAAATGATTGCCAGTATAATTTTCAGTGCGTTATTGAGTTCAGTAGAAGTACAACACAACAACACAATTAACTTATCACTACAACAAGGTATATTTCCATCTCTACTAAAAATCACAATAGTTAAACCAATCTCTGAAAAGGGTGAAAGGAATGAAATTAAAAACTACAGACCAATATCACTATTATCAAATATTAGCAAAATTTATGAAAAAGTCATACACAGCAGGCTAGTAGGCTTCATAGAAAATCAATAGTATATTACATACCGGGTAGGGAAGTGTTTCATTACTGTCGAGAGATTTATATAGTCAATCGAGACGCGAAGCGTCGAGATTGACTAATAATCTCGAGACAGAAATGAAAACTTCCCTCTGAGGTTTGTATACTATTTTATTTGCAAGCACACCATTAATTATGATTAGTCAATCAATTTTTTTAATATTAAAAAAATAAAACAAACATGCCAAAATGTGTCATTCGCTGCTTTGACGTTTTTACCTGACATATTTTCATTGTTGCCAGCAAAGGTAAATAAATTAGAGTGAGGGAAATCGGTGAGGGAAGTCGAATAGGGAAATCGGTGAGGGAAATCGAAGAGGGAAGTGACACAGGTAAAGTGTCACTTCCAAATTTTTAAAAAGTCAGTAATGACAAGATTACATATATGATTGCAAATAAAATATATTATCCAACAGACAGAATGGCTTCAGAAGGGGAAAATCAACTGTCAGGGCCATATATCAAGCACTAGATAAAATCATAGAGTCACTAAACAAAAAAAATCAAACAACAGCAGCATTTGATTGTGTGGATCATGAAACACTCTTAAAAAAGTTGGAATTGTGTGGGATAAGGGGAATTGCTTGGAGATTAATGAGATCGTACCTAATAAGACCTCAAAGCATTGAAGAAACACTAGAAGGGGACGAAAAATTAAAATCAGATTTTGATTACATTAAAAGAGGGATTCCGCAGGGGTCGATACTGGCTCCACTCCTTTACATTGTATATACAAATGAGGTAGAAAACATAATTAACAACGAAGTCTATGCATTTGCAGATGACAAAAATGTAATAATTAGTAAAAAAAATTAAACACAGATAGTAACAGAAATCAAAGGAACATTAGAAAATCTGGAAACTTGGTTTGGATCAAACAACCTAAAAATGAACATCCAAAAAACACAAATTATAAATTTCAAACCAAAAAACAGAGAGTTGCTACGTATACAATGTGGTGGGGAGATAATGGAGTCAGTGAAAAATGTGAGATTCCTGGGAGTTACGGTGGACAGCAATCTAGACTGGAGAGATCACGTTCAGGAAGTGGCGAAGTCTTTGAGGAGATATTCGTATGCTTTAAGAAGGCTGAGAGATGAGGTAGATTTAGAAGCCTCAGTCTCGGCCTTCCATGCCTACATCAAAAATTAGATACGGTATAATATTCTGGGGAAACTCAGTAGAAACTCCAACCATCCTAAAAATACAGAAAAACTGCATAAGAATTATAAAAAAATTAAAAAACAATGACAGCTGTAAACAACATTTCATAAACTTAAAAATACATACAGTATACAATCTGTTCATTTTAGAGAGTATAAACTTTGTCTCAAAGAACACTGACATATTTGAAAAACACAAAAATATTCATTCTTATGAAACCAGACAAAAAAACTACTTAAAAACTGAAAAAGCTAATTTTAGCTATGTACAAAAAAACACAACACACATGACTCTGAGAATATGGAAATTTTTACCAAATAAAATACGGCAGCTTCCTCCAAATCAAATAGGGCCCAAAATTAAAAATTTTCTAGAGAACAAAGCTTACTATAGTCTTAAAGAATATTTTGAGGAAGATCTTAGTCAAATGAAATAAACGATTGAAACTGTGATAGATAGACTGATTTTGTGACTGTACCTATAAAAATTATTTTAAATATAATTGTTTTATGAGTATTATTGTGAAAGTCTGTTTTTAAATGTCTGACGTGCAATATTTTAATTTTAATTTTAATTTTAATGATAAAATCCAATCAACGATAACTTCTACTAGAAAGTAACTATTTAAACGTCTTGTATCAATGTTAATTTATATTTATACTATAAAATGAATTAATTATATTTTATTATATTGTATTGTATTATATTATATTATATTATATTGACGAGTTCTACACCAAAAATGGTATACAAAATATTATGAAGAACATAAAATGAATAAACTAAACTAAACTAAACTAAACAATCTGATGGACTCAGGAAGATTTGGAGCGAAAAAATTAAAAATGGTTATAGATACTCTTAATTTACAAATAAATATATATATCAAGATCATCATTAGATCGAATTGAAGTCCCGTTGCTTGAACTTTTTGAAGTTGGTGTTTCAGTTGGACAGGTTTCTACTTTTTTATCTTGTAGGTATTAAAAATAGAAGTTTGTGCCTAGCCCCATTCCAATCTAGCAAATTCGAAGAGTAGTTCAGACTGTATGCCAGCGTCACTGACTTTTGAAAGTCTGGCAATTCTTCTCTCAATGATAATCATGTGCAGCGCCGTACACGTGGTAGAAGTGAAACTTCTATCGCTTCGTAGTGAGTGTATACGTCGCGCTTTCTTGATCCACTCTCGTGTTATCAGAGTTGTATCGCACTCTCTATTCTCTTATTCTCTTCTATTGCCTAGTATTCAGTTAATACGTGGCTTCCTCTTGCTTGTACAATGCTTCCTAATTTATTTCCCCTTCAAGCAACTGATACTTTGGACTTAGCGCACGAGTGGGGGTTGAAGAAGAAGGACCGCAGAAAAGGGAGACGCGGATAGCCGAAACTGTTTATTAGTCTACTTTGTCTTGCAACGAAGACCCGTGTTTTGGATATAGCTCCCTCTCTCTCTTCTCCTCCCTGCATTATATATTTTTTCCCTTTTGTGTAACGAAATGGGCCCAAACGTGACGCATCTTTCATATCACTCTCTATTCTCGTCCAAATATCAGAACAATGCCTAAGAAGTTTCACTTCAAATCTATCCCTCTCTTCAGACAGCGTATGAGTCGCGCTAAAGACAAAGGACCACATAAAGGAAAGACGCGCATCTGTAGTGACGTGTAACATTCGAAATGTCACAAAATTATATTTATTGTTCTTAATTATTTTTATATATTTTGGACTTATGTAAAAGTACTATTTCGTACACTTAGCGACATCTATGATTATTCTGACTACTTTCTCTAAGCTAATATTCATTGGCTAATATCGAGAATTCTGTTGTTGCCGAGCCACCTGTAGCGCTGTCTTTTTATGATTTTGACAAGCTTGACACGCAAAAATCACCCGATTGTTGATTTTAGTTAAGATTTTTGAAAGTGAGGTTACTATCGGCCGTTCAGGTATGTAAATTTCTTTTATTTCCTACTGAACTATTATAACCATATAATACCTTGTTTACGATAATCATAAACAGGGTCTTTACTCCCAAGGGAGTTAAGGATATAATAACTCCCAAGGGAGTTGAGGATTTCCATAACTCCCTCTTTTACCTTGAATAGGTGAAATTTTGACAAAAAATAGAAATTTTGATTTATGGTTTGTTCCTTTAAAAAAATACAGTAAATTCAGTAGGAAATAAAATTAT